ATTTCTGGTTTTGATTCCCTGAGAACTCTGCCTACGGGTGCAGACCCTGGTCCCCCTAGCTCTTTCCTTCTAGCCCATCTCCATCCCTCTGTGACTTCCACTGGCCCCTAGACTTTGTAGCAGTCTCTACAAGGGAGCCTGCAGCCACCACACATACCCAGGATCCAAAGCAGGCAAGAGAAGCCAAGGAACAGAGCACCCGCCCAACAAAGACAAGACCAGGGACCACTTAGAATGTTATAACCCCAGATGCTGAGATTCCAGTAGAAAAACACAAATGTGAACACTCAAGACAGCATGCCTCCTCTGGAAGCCAGCAACCCTATTGCCATAGACCCCAACCACTGCAATTTAGCTAAAACCACAAGATAAGGACTTCAAAATAGCAATCATGAATATGTTCAATGACCTCAAGGAGGATATGAATAAGTCCTTCAATAAAGACTATGAAAGCATAAACAAACAGTAGAAATAATGAAAACATTTTACAACACTAAAGTAGAGATAGAATCACTAAAGAAAACCCATACTGAAATAAAACTGGAAATGGAAACAATGTCAAACAAAACCTCGGAGGTAAGTTTCACTAACAGAGTACAAGACAAGGATTCAAAATCTCAGGCACCAAAGACAAAGTAAAAGGAATTGATAGCACAGTCAAAGAAAATGATAAACCTAAAAAGAAAAAAAAAATCCAGGCAAAAACATCCAGAAAATCTAGGACACTATAAAAATACCAAACCTATGACTAATAGGGATAGAGGAGGGAGAAGAAACCCAGGTCAAAGGCATGGGAAATATTTTCAACAAAATATTAGAAGAAAAATTTTCCACTCTAAAGAAGGATACAAATCACCAAATAGTCAGGACCAGAAAAGAAACTGCTCATGACACTTAATAATCAAAACACTAAATTCTGGAACATCGAAAGGACATTAATAGCTCCAAGGGATAAAGACCAAGTAACATAAAATAAAACCATCACAGGCTATCGCCAAAGCTATTAGCTGTTCTCTACTTCCTGATGGTAAGGCCATATGGCTGAAGACAACACTTAACATTAAACACAGAGAAGTTGAGCTAGTGTCTAACTAGAAGCTTCCCCTGACTGACTAGCATTCATGGTATTGGAAGATACTCTATAGGCTACTGGAGAAGAAAGCCATTCATCAATATTGACCAGCTACTAGCCCTGTGGTCTATACCAGTGACCTGCCTGCAAGATAAACTGGTACAGGTGGCACTAATTTTATAGGAGTAACTGGACTACTGCTAAACCAACACTGCTAAAGTGGCCAAGAACCTGAGACCAGATAGGTCACCTACCTAGAGAAAGACTTTTTACTAACATTTGCTAAAGGACATTTTATGAAATGACTTCTGATGGCATATGGCTATATCCACAGATCACACAACCCACACCAGAGAAGTTCCATCTTGCAGTAGAGGGAATCACCATTGAGCCCCACAACTGTTCCGTGGGCAGAGAGTGAAAGGCTTTGGAGTACTTTGTCCTGAATGTGATATTTTCCACAAATTCCTCCCTTCTGGGCTCAGGGAACCATGTGGAAGATGTAGAAAGATTGTAAAAGCTAAAGTTGATGCACGACTCCAAGGCAACATTGTTTTCTGGTCGCAACAGGACCGAGCATGTGAAGTCACAGAAACTGTGGAAGCATGTAAAGGACCTGCATCCGGGTCCCAGCAGAGGGGGGGGGGCGGGGAAAGGACATGGAGGTCCCACCCCTAACCAGGAAGCTGTTTGAAATTGATGCCCACTGGCAAAGGGGAAATCAGTGTATCAACCACACTCCAGGACAATTGCCCAACAAAAAACCAAATTCAGTGGTTATTTTTTGTAAGCTTTTTGCCTCATTTTGCTTTGTTTGAACATTTTTTTTTCTTTTTGTCTTACTGGTCTTCATGTGGGTGTTTTTGCCATGGGTGTAACTGGAGTTACAGATAGTTGTGAGCTGCCATGTGTGTGCTAGGCATTGAACCCATGCATAAAAGAGCACTGCTCTTCTCTATCAGCATGTACGCCTTTATGTCAGAAGAGGACATCAGATCCCACTATAGATGCTGCGAGCCACCATGTGGTTGCTGGGAATTGAACTCAGGACTCCTGAAAAACAGCCAGTGCTCTGAACCACTGAATTTTCTCTCCAGACTCTTGTCCTGACATTTTTGGAGAACATAAGTTTGGCTTGGTAGTATTTGAGATGAATTGGGGGAGAGGAAAGTACGATTGAATTTTTTTTCAATAAAAAAAAACAGACAAGTTTTATAAACCTTGGACTTTCATATTCAGTGAAACAGAGGACTTTCAAAGGTCACCAAGAAGGGCTGGAGACACAGCTGGGCTTGCATGAACACACACAACAGGGAAACAAGTTAGCACAGATTAACTGGTTTAGGGATAGTGATGGCCGGGCAAGCGCATGAAAATACACTAAGTCCAAGCCTCAACTTAGAGCATGTTCAGACACTATATGCCAATTAGAGTGGCTAATAAAAATCAAACACCCAAAGCACAGATAATGTAAATGCTAAGGAAATATGCAGCAACCCAGCCTCTCATCATTGCTGATGGGAATACCAAGTCCTATGGACCCTTCGGAAACAGTGTGAGGTCTCTTAGAAAGTAGAAAATAATTTGCCACATGACCTCACCATCTCACTCCCGGTGGTTAGGCAAGAGAGATGGAATCCCGTTCCATGTCCACAACAGCCTTTAGAGATAGACAATTATTGGTAATTGTCTCCAAAAGGAAAGAACTTAAATGTCATTGAGCAAAATGTCTAGCCATACAAAAGCTTGTTGCCATCACTGAACAGGAATGGTCTACCACGTGCCCAACATCGTGGAAGGATTTCAGCAACACTGCATGGGAGGAAGTTCAACTCAAATGGCTACTACCCGAACCAATGCACAGCAAAACTGCAGGGACAGCAGAGGGTTGTCATTGGCATGGGGCTGATGTGTGTGTGGGTAGGGGGGTCTCTCTCACCAGAAATGGGGTGCATGGGTATCAAAAACATCCTGGATCCTTTTTGTGATGCTGCTAATCACACAATACATTCTGTCAGAACTCATAAAACTATAACTAAAAAGGATGAGCTTCATTTTCATACAACAGACTCTATAGAGTTGACGTTAAAAATCTTTATTTTCCACAGATGTAGTAAAGAGAAGCCTTAAATACAAATCTTCACAACACTTTAGTCATTGAAATAGACCACGAAAACCAGTAAAAATGAATCTGTGTCACTCCTCTGCCGATGAAGGTGGCCTTCAAGAACCTTTTAATGTCTCTGGGTAGGAAAAACGATGTTAAATTATCATTATTGGCTTTGTATGGGGGTGAAGTAGGTGCGGACAGATGATGAAGCTCGTGGTACATGCGGGTTTCTAGCTCTGCATCCTGCTCTGTAGAGTTTATTTAATACATTCCATACCAAAAGGTGTAATGGATTTGTTGAATTTAGCAACATCTCCCTTTGGAAGGATATTAACAGAAAGATCACTGCACCCTTCCCAGCACCATGGTTATGACCTGCAGTTCTTTATGTTAGTGAAAGAGCCCCATAAATTACAGAGCCATTCTCTACTTTTGCTTTAAAAGTCAGGGTCATCTGCTATGACCCCATGGAAACCGCAATCAGGAGGAAGAGACCAGTGACAGACACGCCTTCTGGCCAGCTGGGTATTCCAGGCTGTGCAGCGACCACTGCTAACACGCTTATAACCTACCAGGTTACAAAACTCCTTGCCATTTGCTTAAGTGCTTTAGCTTTTCTCCAGTATCTGAGAACCAGTGCCCATGGAAAACCCATCCCAGTGGCCACTTTCAGTCTCTGACTGCTTCCTCACAAAAGGGCCCATGATGGGAGATGTCCCATGCCCCCGCCCCAAATCATCTGTAGGAGAATTAATTTTCTTACATCCATGTCATTTGATTCGTAATTTCTTTTGTGTGCATATACAATATTTGTGCAGTTGCCTGTGGAGGCCAGAGGAGGACATGCGATGTCCTGGAGCTGGTGTCACAAGTAGTTGTGAGCTACCCGGAAGGGGGCTGGGTATTGAAGTCAAACTCATAGTCTTCATAATTGAAAATCACCTCTCTAGATCTCCTGATTTGTAATGTAAATGCAACACACACACACACACACACAGAGGACGGGTTTTTACTTCCGGAAGGCTGAATTAGTCATGCACAAATACTTTGGAAGGAAAGAGGGTCTACTGCCTAAGTACATTTCCGATATTGTTATGTAGAAAGAGAATACGCAAATTAGCACGTCAACTTTACTTATTCTTTCTTAAAGTTCCTTGGCATCTTCTTTCTTTCCATCTTTTCTAGACAGCTAATTGCTTAAAAAGAAGAATGCCACACCACAAATGCTAGGAATCTTTGAGATTAGTGGCCAAGTACCTGTCATTCCGGCAAAACAAAAAAACAACACACACACACACACACACACACACACACACACACGAAACAAACAAAACCAAACAGGTATGAGACAGGCCACACCCTGAACTGAGGTCTCAAGGGTCTACAGGACCTGACGACCCTGGTTGTCGTTCTTGGGGGCGGGGTCTCCCTTCTTTTGAGAAAAACTGAGACACAGAATATTTCCCCCAAATCAAAGATCCTCTGCTCGTGTCTTGCACGTCACTCCCGAGCGTTACGCATCTGGCCTTTTCCTGAAAGTGCTTGGAGGACACTAGCACAGCCATCACCGGAGCACTGTAGGACACCGGAGCACTGTAGGACACTGGAGCACTGTAGGACGGAGTGCAAAATAGTGTAAAGGAGATAGCACCTTCAGAATTGTCAAGAAAACCCTTAAATAATCAAGATGGAAAGAAGGAGGAGACAGTATCAAGAAGCACAGAACAAAAGCAAGTGAAATATAAATATGGGGGGGGGCACAGACCTCAAAAAGGCAGGACACCAACGTTGCATTAAAAAAAAAAAAAAAGACCAAACTGAATGACACTGGGTGGTGGGAGGCAGAGGAGAGACCACAGGAGGAAGTGAGAGATGGGTCACGCCCACAGCCTACCCCTGCGAGGAGGTGTGCAGTGGCTGGCCACAAGAAGTCTGTTTAGGGAAAGTCACTGGTGCCCTGCGCTCAGGACAAGCATCCAACGCGGGGGTCACTCTGCACACTGTCGGGATCCCTGGGTTCGGGGTGAAGCCTGCGCCCCGCCCTGCTCCTGCACCGGCCGCGTGGTCCCATCCTCCGTCCGGGATGCGCCCTGCTCCTGCAGCCCCGCCCCGGTGGCGCGCGTGTCAGGGAAGCGCGGGGCCGTGCCCGCGAAGGAGTCTCTGCGCGCCAGCGTCTCCTCCTGCACCGGGCGGCCCACTGGCTCTGGCTCCGGCTCCGGCTCCGCGGGGCCAGGGCCCTCTTGCGAGGTCTGGCTGACGTACACCACGATGATGTCCCCCTTGAAGTTCATCACCTGCCCGCTGGAGATGAACGTGGAATTGCTGTTTCCCGTCACGTTTCCTGCAAGGGCCAGAGCACGGAGAAGCTGCGTCAGGGACTACAGGATGGTATTTGGAGCCAGCACAGGTGTGCTCCCTTGGAAAGCTTGGGTCACCTTGGAGGCTGTGGCAGCAGGGGCGGGAAGAACAAGTCAAGAGATGGGAAAAGATGCAAGCATATGGGTCATTCTTGTGTTTCGTCTTCTCATAGCTCACGGGGGACCACACACAACAACTCACCGGGATTCTGGAATTTAGATAACTTTCAGTTGGAGAGAAGAGGGAGGAAAAAGAAGGAAGAGAGCTTCTGGAGGAGGGGATAGAATAGTAGTAGAGAAAAGAAAGGAGAGGGAGGAAAAGGCAGAGGAAGGATGGCAGTAGGTCAGAGTACAAGAAGTGGCCCCTGGAACAGACATCAGTTCACTGGGGCTTCTGAAGCATGGTCTTCACACCCCTTCCAAAAGGGCCGTGATGCCTCAGCAGGGTGACCATGGAGCTAAGTGAGCTCAGACTTTACCAGACATTAATAAAGTTCGTTTTTTTACGGGATGGAGGGAGGGAGGGATGAAGGGATGGAGGGAGGGATGGAGGGAGGGAGGGAGGAACAAAGAGAGGGAAAGGAAGAAATTCAGTTCTATTATTCCTTGGTGGATAACTGGAAGTAACCAGTCTTAGATTAATAAAACTTGTGGCACGCAGAAAGTCTAACAGACATTAGGGAGCCTGTCTCCTTTATTATTCTTTCATTCACAGATCCAGTTTCCAGCCAGGTGAAGAAGAGCGGCCCAAACCCCCAACACTGAGCATCACAAACAGAACCTTTGGTCTGTGCAGGGGGCAGGGCCATGAAATGGTCACCAGGTCTCCAGTACTCACCATCCATGCCTATCTTCTGCTGTGACCCAGCTCCACAGTAATGTATGCAAGTACGATGAAGTTTGTATTACCCTCTCTGAATGAAGCTGCCTCAAATTTTGAAGGGTATTTTAAGGCAGTGACTAAGGTGCTATGGGCATTCAGGAAATTCGTTTGGGGTAGCCTTCTTCCTACTGGCAGAGTGACTCCTGAGAAGCCAGTATGGAGGTACAGTGAAAAGTCCACAGGAAGACGAAGATTTTAAATGTGAGCAACAAATCCAAAGACACAGAGGTCTGTGATTCCTGCGGTCCCCCCCACAGGATGGGAAGTACCAGGAGCTTACCCCCCCTACCCCCTTCAAACACACATCAGAGAGCCTCCTCCTGTTTCTGCCTCCCTGCTCACTGAGAAGTGTGCCCACAAGTGCTTATAACCTACATTGTGCACTAAACAGACAGACACCATCTATGACTTTCTCTTCTACCTGTTAGTTCTCATGTGTTTTTACCAGATAAAGTCAAAACAAGAAACCAAGGTAACACATATGTGTCAAAAATGTTACATTATAACTAGACACATGCCATATGTATTTAATAAAATTGGTAATTGTGAGTTGCTTAGAAGTATGGTTTTCCTCAGTACAGTCATTCTATGGTTTTATTATGACATCATTTACTGCTTTTGTTCTTCAATATAGTAAACCATAGAGGACCTCTCTAGCTAGAGCAGGGTTGATTTACAATTCTGGAGTTAATCTCATCTCTTCTTTTTCCTCCTCATACTTAGATTTACCTGGTAGTGTCATGGTACATGGGATTTATTCACCATTTACATTTTTATCTGCAAACAAATCATCATGATGAGAGCTCACTCTTGTTTACTTCTCCTTTGTCAGGACCTCAGTTAATCTGAGCCCAGTAAAAACCCTGAGCTATTTTTCGGTCATCACACACACACACACACACACACACACACACACACACGTGTAAAATCTTGCATCTTGAGCATTTCATTCCAAGCCATTTCCCCTTAACAAATTCATCCTGATAGTAGTATATTAAACATCCAATATACATTCTTGCGATGTGGGATGTCTTTCTGTAGGCTGTGAATGTATGTTGCTTTTATTGGTTGGTGAATAAAGCTGTTTTGACTAATGGCCAGGCAGAATATAGCTAGATGGGAAATCCAAGCAGAGTTATGGAGAAAAGGGAGGCAGACTCAGGGAGACACCAGGTAGCCACTGGAGAAACAAGATGTTAGGTAATGAGCCATGAGCTTTGTGGTAAAATGTAAAATAATAGAAGTGGGTTAATTTACTTGTGAGAGCTAGTCAGTGATACGCCTGAGCCATTTGTCAAACAACTGTGATGAAGATTAAGCCTTAGAGTAATTGGAAACTGGCAGGAGGGATGAGAAGCCTCCAACTACATTCTTGTTTTTCATTTTTATTTTCAGTGTGGAACTCAACCCTTTTAGCTTACGGGACTTAGATAAGCAATCCATAATCCTTTGAATCATAGAATAATAAGTGTCATTTTGGGGAGGGCATGGGTCAGGTAGAAGGACCAAGCAAAGACCTTTTTAAATTGCTAACAGCAAGTTAAAGAAAAACAAAAAGTTACCTAGAAAGAGATTATCAACATTAATTGTCAGGGTTTTGTGTGTGTGTGTGTGTGTGTGTGTGTGTGTGTGTGTGTGTGTGTGTATGTGTGTGGGGGGGTGTTTTAATCAAAGGTTTGGGTTATGGGCCAGCACGATGACTCAGGGTAAAGCACTCTTCCAATAAGCCTGATGACCTGAGCTCAACCCTCAAATCCCACGATGCAAGAAGAGATCCACATTGCCCTGAAAACTGTCCTCTAATCCCACGTGTACACTGTGGCAAGTGTGCTCTCCCCATACACAACACACACACACACACACACACACACACTACATAAAATAAAAATGTAAAGGGATGGTTTATGACCAAAAAAAAAAAAAAAAAAAAAAAAAAATCTTCGATCAAGTTCGCCAGGCTAACATTCATGGGAAAGGGTCAACTGGTACAGACTAAACAAAACAAAACAAAACAAACAAACAAACCAGAGGGCTGGAGATATGGCTCAGCAGTTAAGAGCACTGGCTGCTCTTCCAGAGGACCAAGGTTCAGTTCCCAGCATCTGCACGACAGTTCATACCTGTGTGTAACTCTAGTCCCAAGGCTTCTACCACTCTCACACAGACATACATGCATGTAAAAACATCAGTGGACATAAAAACGATAAGAAGAAGAAACTTTAAAAATACCCTACTGATTTGCCGGTATGTAAAAGGTGACAAAATGGCCATCACTCACATGTCACCCACACACCTGCCCCGTACCACATGTGCAGAGCCTTTGCTGTCTTTATCACCCTATTAATTTTTACACAAGGTTCATTGCACGTGTGTTCCTCAGCAGGCTCTGCGAATTATGTCCGTGGTCCCAAGGAGCTGTGTGGTAAGACCACAGCCATTTGATTTAGTGTCACTGCTTTAGGAGCCATCTGATAAGATGGCTGTATTTCAATAGTGCAGAATGTCCGCCACTCTAATTTTCTTTAACAATGAGCTAGATACTCAATAGGAGAGGGAGTTGTAGATATCATCTGACAGACTCATTTTCTTTCTGTCTGTCCCTACGCTAGCCCCAAACCCTTCACACGGCTGAAGATGCCCTTGAACATCTCATCTTCTTGCCTCTATCTCCTGTGTGCTGAGGTTACAGGCTGCCGTGGCCACAGGCATGCACCTCTGTGCCAGTTTATACAGCGTTACACATTCAGCCTGGGGCTTTGCACACGCCAGCCACGCACTCTGCCGTCTGATTATTCTGAAATACGTTTCCCTGATGTTTAAGCCTCTTGCCACTTGCTGGGAAACTCCCAGCAACTCTCTGATGATGGAGAACTGAGCCTGCGCCTCTGAGAACGGGTCTACACAAGGTGTCAATCAGGCCGTCACTGTTTTGATGTAATGTTTGGTTCGGTTTCTTTAAAGTAGTGTGAGAATGAAAGATTACTTCCTAAGATCTGAGTGCAGACATCTAGAGTTTGCTTCCCCATTCTTACACAGCTCTCTCACCTACTTCAAATTCAATGGCAAGATATTTTTAGCAACTCATTCTTTGAATAATTCCAAAGCTTCCAATAGTTTTTATAGCAACAATCTTCTTGCCTGTCAAACTTACCATTTTTTTTTAAAGCAAATATAACAGGTCCTAAAGTACAATGAGATCAGCTCACACTCCCAGCCCTGGGAACAGGCATGGGAGCAGGTGTGGTGTGCTGTGTGTTTACACTGTGATTGTGCACAGTGTGTACGCGGGGCTGTGCATGCGTGTGTGCACACAGAGAGCAGGGGTCGATGCTGGGTGTCTGATGGTCTCACATTCCACGTAGTTTTTGAAATGAGTTGTCTCACTGAACGTGGATCTCGTCATTGTGGCTAGGCTGGCTTACAGATGAGCTCCAAGAATACAAGCCCAGTGAGGCCTGCCTTCCCTTCCTGTTGCTTGCTTTTTCCTCCTCAACCTCCCTTTAAGCTGATTGTCTCTATAATGAAAGAGGGTGGAGAAAGACACTTCAGAGACAACTGGAAGGAGAAAAATGTTACAGGTCAGGCAGCCATCACTTTTGAGCATCCTATTCCTGCCTGTGGAAACTTCTGGACCTGACTTGGCCTGGCTACTCACTGTCCATCACTGAGTCAGAGTAGCCACTTGCCCTAGGCTTGTGTTTCTTTTATTCTGTGCAGCAGCAAGCACTTTCAAAGGCTGAGCAATCAAGTAAGATCCATGCCACTGATGCCAATTTCAGAGGCAATGCATGGTGTTGCAAGGCATAAGCTTCACCACTGAATGATGCTGCATTGCTTACTAGCTTCATGATCCTGGATGAGGAACTTACTCCCCAAGGTTTCTGTAAGTAATTAAGATAATGCATGCAATGCATGCAATCTCCCTGTGTGTGCACTAGTATGTCTGCACCGATAACACGGAGCAACAAGGAAGCCAACGTCAAGTGTCTTCACACTCCACTTGATTTTATGAGACAGTATCTCTCACTGAACCTGGAGCTCACTGGCTGGACTGGCTGGACAGGGAGATCCTAGAGTCCACCTGTCCCCATGTCCTGCATG